CTTGAAATTGATAGACATTGTTAGAAATGCATAAATTAAAAGTATTTCAAAAGCATTTTGAAAAATTTTAACTGCAACCATATTTTTTAAGCCGTTCTCATTTGAGAACACTGGGCGTTTGTATATAAAAATGTAAAATTTTTAAAAATCAAAATTTTTTACATAAAATGATTTAGTTTTAATATATAAACAAACTAATAGACAAAATAATGTTAAAAATCAAAATTTATTTTAAGACGTGTAAGAAAACTTTTTTTTTACATTTTTAAGATAGATTTTTTTTTATGGAAAAGAGGAAAGCATTGAATCCACAATGTTACATTGCATTTCATGCAATATGTTCTTGGCTTTGAGGCACAATTGTCATATTGGCAACGCCTTTGTTTATCTCTTTTACCAATAACATGCTGTATTTTGTCGAATTTTATGTCAGGAAGCACGTTCGATCTGCATGTTATCCTCCTTTGTACTGGTCTTCCTAGGATTGCTTTTGAGTCGGCTCCTTTTTTCAAATAGGTTACTGCACTGTATCTCCTAAAATCTTTGATTGACATTGAACGATGGATCCTTTTATAAATGAGATAGGCATTTACAACAGCCTATCTATCATCATCCTAGTAATAAGACAAAAATACCATTTCTTTCCTCGTATGGCTATAGAATGTTTCTCAAGAAGCCAATCATGAAGGTCGACACCCCCCATAAATGAGGTATAGGAACTTATAGCATGAGGCTGATTTACTTTCACCTTTTCTTTTTTCTCTACACTCCATCTTTGTACTGAAGATAGCGGCATTATTGTGTCAAAATTAGTGGCCAATGAAACACACTTATTGTCTTTCCATTTGACAACAAGAATTTCATTTGTTGTGTCAAATTTTACTATCGTAAAACCCTCTCTCTTTCTTACTCATTTTCTTGTCATCCATTATTGGGCATTTTTCAGTACGATTTTCTCGAATTGTTCCACTAGCTCTAAACTTCAGTTCTTTCAGTTTTTTTAGTAATGCATGACTGGTAAAAAAATTATCAAAATAAACACGATGGCTCTTCGGATCTTCTACAATAGATAGTAGATTTAGCACCACTTTTGTACCTAAAGGCAGTTTGTCAGATTCGGAAGTATTTGTTTCCTTTCCACAATACAGTGCAAAGTTATAACAGTATCCATCGTTGCCACACAGAGCCCAGAGTTTATACCCAAATCTAATAGGTTTAGATTTTATAAACTGTTTCAGTGTATGATGACCATAATACCGGACGATCATTTCATCAACAGACAAATTTTCATGGAAAATGCCCCATTTTTGAAAATTCTTGGAAAGCATTTCTAACAAGGGACGTATTTTAAATGATTTATCATTCTTGTTATATTGATGTAATTTATTATCTTGGAAATGCAATAATCTTTTGAGCTCTAAGTAGAAATTTCTAGTCATAGCATTCTTCACTATTGTTACTCCTAAATCATCTGCTTCTGCCCAGTAGTCCCGTTCACTGGGTAAAGTATGATAGCCCGAAAGTATCAGAAATCCTATAAATGTTTTTATTTCATCTTTAGTCACATTATAATTCAATTTATTTTTCATTTCGTGAGCATATCGATTAGTTTCCTCTACGATCATATCATAAACACTTTCAGCAAAAAATTCTTCAAACAGCTCAACTGGACTCGTATTATTAGTTTGCGCTGTCAATATATCAGAATTTCTCTTGGACAAATTTTCCAAATTCCCAAATGTGTAAGCCGGACTTTCATTTGTCCATACAATTGACTCTCTTTTACGTTTACGGGAATTGTTTTCCTTTTTCTTATCCGAAATAATAGGGTTATCATTATCATCTGGCATTGTAATTTCTAATGTACCTGCAACATCTGATACAACTGGAGTACCCAAATTATCATCATCGAATTGCTCTTCATCTGTTAGATCATCCACATCCAGAGGCATCGATATAATATCTGCTTCTATTTCTTCAGAAAAAAGATAAGCAGTCGCCTCTTCTAAGCTTTTAAATATTTTTTTCTACTCATTTTTCAAGATTTATTTATAGTTTTTCTGCAACAAAAGTAACAAACACTTAAAAAAATAAATCTGAATACTGTATAAAAACTATACCCAAACGCCCAGTATCCTCAAACGAGGACGGATATGTTTTCCTGTTTATTACGGATATATTTACAACAATAAATATTAACAAACATGCTAATGACACAATATGGGCTATCTAGATTATATTTATAACAAATTGAAAGAATTTACCTCATAAATCCAGTGCCATACAGTGGAACATAAAATAAACAACGCGATTACCAAAAAACGGGTAAATTATACTTTATCTTTCCCGCGCAATTTTACTTAGTTCCAAAATAATTGCACATCTCCCATTGTATGGTGGTGTCATCTATCGGACCAAATTGTACATATAAAAAAATTTTTTAATTTAATGCAGGGAATAACAATTTTTTACAACAGCGTCCTCAAATGAGGACACTGGGCGCTAATGGGTTAATTTGAGAATAATAAACACCAGCAGTGTAACATGAAAAATTCTGACAAACAAATATTCATTTGAATCTCAAGTCTAGAGCTCATATTTATTTAACATTTTTTAATATGATACAGTTTATCTGTTAACTGTATCATATTAAATATGATACAGTTAACAGATAATGGTTAACAGATGAAATATGATACAGTATCCATACATCTAATTAAATATCTTTTATCCTTGATTATCTAATTAAAGAAAGAGTGATCTGTTCCTTTCAGCTTCTGCCAGAATGATCAACACCAGAAAGTTGGCAGGATCTTAATGGATCCCATGAATACATGGTTGATGGAAGAGAATTTGAGTATCATTTTTTATATAAACAACTACTATTTATATCAGACATGACCTTGAAGTTTGTTGACACTGGAATCTGTTACACCAGACATCCTCTCAGAGTTTGCTGTTGTCCATCTTCTTTAACCCTAAACTTAATAAATGTCTGACTGCATGTTATTCTGAATTTGAAAATTAAACAACCAAATAAATTTTTAGTGGATATGACTATTGTCTTAAAGAACAGAACACGCATTTTCAAGATCTGCAATCTCATATTAAACAAGTACGGTGTCCAGGGAGTAGTTGTTGATTTATAACTGCTATCTCTGGGCTTTTTGATATTTTAGCAGAGGCCTTTCTAATGGCAACATCTAGGAATCAAATCAGAAGTGTGATGTTAGAGCCTCGTGGGACAGAATCTGGACCAAGCCTTGAGAGTAAAGTACTTTACCTCATCATAAAAAAGAGCTCTTTGGTGCCAAATTCAAGTAGTTCAACTCTTTCAAATTTGCAAGTGCTGGGTCACTCTGGGTGTGGCATGCAAGCAACAATTTACTTTAATCTGGAACTCCCTCCAGAAATCAATCAAATAAACAGTGAAAATTATGCAGCATTGATTGCTTTTACCATACTTTTAGAATAAATTTTAGTATTTCAGTATACAAATTTGCTACTCTGTTTTTAAAACTTCAGATTTACCCATGAATTTTAAAATATAGGGAATAAAATTGCATTCACATGACTTTTACAGGCTATACTAATAGACTTTAAAATTTTTGAAAGCCAGATATGTTACAACCAATTGAACTCTCACTGGATATTATCTTACAATTGCTAGTTCGATGTGCTAACCACTCCATGGTATGAGCCTGCATGAGAAAAATGTTATTATTTCTCAATAAAAATTTTTACGATACTTTGCAAATGTTTCCTATTCAGAAAAATCGACTCAATCTTTTAATTCAATAATATATTACTAATATTTACACTGTTTCTTATATTTTTCATTAAAAAGTAAATGCAGCTTTATCGCATGCAGTATCAATATAGTTCATATCATGACTGTCAATAAATATGTTAAATTTTACATGTGGCCCCTGACACATATTTGTTGGGCCATGCAGCCAAGAACCTATGAAAGGCTGGATATCCCTGATTTAGATATCGATAGCAATAATGATATTCATTGCATTAGTTGCCATTGCTTTTATATTATTATTATCAAAAATAAATATATTTTCCACTCTAGTTGATTTTCAGAAAGTAATAAATTTTTATGCTTGTATAATCTCACATAAATATACAAAAAGCTAACTTAGTTAACATGATATATTTAGATGTTGTTTGCTGCACACTAATACCAACAGGTATGGGTTCACACTTCTATATAATGCATGGTAATTTGTGCCATCTCTCCTGTCCTTTGTCTTTATCCTCCGCCCATAAATTCTAGGCAACATTCTCACTCACTCATCAGATGTGAAATGATCAACAGATTCAGCCATCTCCCAGAAAATGAACTCGCCATTGAAAAAATTTAACAAATATATGCTACCATTGAAAAATTCTCATTTCAAACAGTATTCTTGCCCGTTATTAGTAACTATACTTTCTTATTATGTTATTCCTCGAGACAAATATTTCTCCGAGTATTTCACAAAGTTAAAAAGGTTAAAAAACACTGTTCTAAATTGAGGACAATTTATATTCCACTTCAAATGTATGCTTAAAAGTTATACTTAAAGAAAATACAAATAATAACTTTTATAAAAGTGTTTTTTATATGTTCTTCAATGCACATTCTGTAATACAGCTAAGATAAAAATTATCTTTTTAAAAACAATGTGAAGCAATTACATTAGTAAAATATGTATAATTAAATCTGCTCCTGGTGAATTCCATATGCATGCTTCTTCAATGCACATTCTGTAATTAGATGAAAACAGCTAAGATAAAAATGATCTTTTTACAAACAATGTGAAGCAATTACATTAGTAAAATATGTATAATTAAATCTGCTCCCCATGAATACCATATGCATGCATTAATTCTTGAAGTCAAATTATTTCAGTCAGTTTGGTCGCAAATCTTAAATATTTAAAAAAAATATTCAAATAAAAACCTACCACATAAAAACTACCACGTATAAAGAAATAAAAAATACTCACAATTACAGGAGTCATTTGATTGGTTGAATATAATCGATGCATGATCACATAGATAAACAGAATTCCTGCAGTATACATTAAAGTCAGCACACCAGAGGCAACAAAAAATTCTGCATTACTGGAGAAGTCGTATGGAAACGTATACATTTTATAAGATATATCAGAAATATTTGCACATGATTCGGGCCCCCTGAAACCTGTCTTTCCCAATCTGAAATGCAAAACAAAAATATTATGTACACAAAGCATATTCTTTCCTTCCCTCAACATTTTAAATTTATTTTAAATTCAACATTTTAAATCAATTTTATGAAAGTTCATAATAAGTTCTGTACAGTTATTTAAATGCAATAATATTTTAAAAAGTTGTAAGTGCCTATTAATCATGCTTAGAGTTTATTACGATTATATATATATATATATATAATACAGATCAGGAATGGCCAACAAAGACCTAAGCACTGAATGCACCGATTTGAGAAAATATAAGATGCACTGAATTGAGAAAATATAAGACATACTCTTTGATTTTCCCTACAATTTAATGAACTGACAGATATAAAGTGACAAAGCACAAATGCTAATTTTTATTTGCATGGATTTTTAAAAGTTGTATGCCAAAAAGAACTGCTGGTTACGATTTCTTTGAAAGAAATGACTATATGTGTAAATAGACTCACATTTTGAAGAACCTCATCACTACACTGGAGGAACCAATCCTTAAATTAATTTTAATTATAATACATACAGCAGAAGCAATGATAAGTTTCATAAATGGATTTATAACTCTGCCAAACTGATGACCAAATCCTACCACTGCATAATTCATAAATCTGTAAAGTCAGTAAATGATTAAATTTTTTAAAAAATAATGGATAAAGGCTTTCAAAACTGTAAATTCCATTGGAGGAAGTTCCCTCCAGAAGTGTCTTTTATAACCGCAACTTAATGAAAGAAGTAGAATTATTACATACCGACGTAAAATGGATAAGTATAAGTAAATTTCTGCAACAGTTTCATGAAATGAGATAAAATGTTTTCTTGAATTCAAGAATTCTTGAAGATCAAGAAAGTGTAAATTTAAATGATAAAACCTGGATGAGTGATTTATCATTTTTTACAGATTTTACGTTGAAACTGAGTGATTGAAATTTAAAAATCCAAAGAAAAATTAAGATAATAATTGAAATTATCAATAGCATTAATGTGTACAAATCAAAATCATATATTGATCATAATAATAACCTTCAACAAAAAAAACTTAAACACTTTCTAGATATGTCCTAGCACCTAAAAACATTAAAATTGTAATTATAATATTGAAAAGTACAGTGGAGAAATTAAAGAGGTTAGTGAAGACTTTGAGGTCAGATTTCAAGATTTAAAAAAAAAAAAAAAAAAAAAAATATTATGCAGTTATTGATATCCATTATTTCTGTAAAACATACTGCAGCAAAAATTTCTAACACATTAATATTGAAAGAAAAGAAAAAAAGGCATTAGAAATATTATATTTCTAAAAACTGATCTAACCTTACAAATCAGAGAACTTGAAGAAGATATGCCAATCGAGAAAAGTATCTTAGCATCACCAAATTTAGCGAATATTTATATTCTTGTTTTGGATCTACATTCTTATGTGAATCAACTTTTTCATCGGGTTTAACATAAGTTTTCCACCACCACAAATATTGTCTACACAAAAAGTTTGCACTACCACATTTAATCATATTTTGTCAAACAATTTTTGGCATTTGAAATAACACTGTGTTGTGAAATTTGTAAAAAAAAAATGAGTACGATTAAGTGCTTTAGAACACTGTGTTGTTATATTTGTAAAAAAAAATATGATTAACATTAAGTGCTTTAGAACACTATGTTGTGAAATTTGAAAAAAAAAAAAAAAAAAAAAAAAAAAAAAAAAACCCATTACCATTAAGTACAAGGTGTCTGAAATGGAACTATAATGCTACCAGATTAGAACCATCATTTACTTCCACTTCTGTAGCAAACAATCAGCCACAGAATGTCACCAAACCATGTGTACAGCTTTAGATACTAATGTTGTATCATATGACATTGTAAAAGCTTGGTACTGAAAGTTCAAAAACATGAACTATGACATTCAAGAAGCAGCATGTTCTGGCCGGCCTACTGATGGAATGAGGCCCGCCTGCGAGAACTTGTGGAAGAAGATCAATATGCAACCACTCGAGAGCTTGTTCACGAGTCAGACATTAGAGCCATGTCCATTAATAGCGCTATGCATTGCATAAATTTGATGTACAAGTTCAACAGTTGGGTGCCACATGAGCTGACTCAAACAGATAAGGATGGACATGTTCGGGCCTGCACTAATCTACTCGAATACCAACGCAAGGACAAAATTCTGGACCGGATCATCACTTTCGATGAAAGGTGGATTTACTTCAACAACACAGGTAAAAGTGGTTAGGTCTGTGCCTGGTCAGCCGTCAGCTGCGTCGCAAAAAGCAATTTGACTAAGGAAAAAACTCATCCTTTGTATCTGGTGAGATTGTTGTAGTATTATCCACAAAGGGTATCAGGGAAAAGGTAAAACACTCGACAGTAAAGTGTATAGCGAAATGCTAGTCCATGTTGACACTGCTATCAAGGAAAAACATCGAACTGAGTTCTGGCACATAATGTTTTGTCTAGATAATGCACGACCACATGTATCTGTATTTGTTGCCCGAATCAGAGTTAATGTCATAGCCACTATATAGCCCCAATATCGCTCCTTCGAATTTCTACCTTTCTCCACACCTGCAGCTACATCTTGCTGGTGCTATCTTCCATTCTGCACAGGAAGTTCGAAATGAGGTTGTTCTGTTTTTGGAGTTACGGTCACAAAGTTTCTGGGCTGAACGCTTTAAAAAACTACCACAACATTGACAGAAAATCATAGATTTTGGTATTGATTACCACTTGCACTAAAGATTACTGCTTTCATGTTTTTTATTCTAACTTTATTGAAAACGGTTTTTGGCGGGAAAACTTTCATAGCAAACACATCTATTTAAAATTCATAAAGACTAAACAAATTACCTATTTACTAATCCCCCACACTGAAGATTCATTATCATAATCTTTCTTTGGACACACACATTACGTAAAGTTGGATACATGCAAATGCAGATTTCTCATTAATGGTGAGACAATTAAATAAAATATAATCTCTATTTTGTTCTCTGGCTACCTTTCAATGAATAAATATCATTAATAAAATATATTCTTTTAATGCCCTGTACCCACTGTCACTTTAGTACAAGAGAAAAGTTTGAATGTGTTATATGTCAAGATTTTCACAGGTAGATTGTGACATATTTTTCAGTAATAATTATAAAAGCCAAATAATAAAAATATTTTATTATGATAATGCTTACTTAAATGGATATCCAAATTTATACTGTACAGTCCTTTCAAATGCTTTGCATTTAATTTCAAGAGTAACAAATGTTTCAAAGCCAGCAGTTGTTGCGAATGCAAATATAGACATCACCTGAAATAAAAAGGAAATACTTGATTGTACATAAAACTGTGGGAAACACATGCAGTAGGAGATAAATATTGAATAGAAAGATGTAACATTTATGGATACCAAATGACTTAGCACTTGAAATTATACAGGAAACAAAATACAATTTACTTTACTAACAATTTGTTTCTAACTATAAACAATAAAATGATTAATTTCGGAAGGTTTGTGAAATTTCGAGTTATACATTAAAATTTATTTATTTCTTAAATGTGTATATTTGTGTATTAACTTATTTATCGAAATAAATTGTTGTATAAGATATATGAAAATTTCTGAAAAGTTTTAAAGACTACTAAATACACTTTTTACATCAAAATTCTGTTACAACACATAAGTTTAGAGCATTTTAACACAGGAAAACAGTGAATTTTTGCTTTGCCTTAAAAAAAAAAATCTGTGCTTTTTTTTTAACGTTAAAATCCATTTTACCACATATTTATAAATAAGGCAAGAACACATTTTTTTCTTCAAAAGTTTATCCAAAATTAAAAATTTGTATATTGAACTAAACTGAAAAAAAGAAGGAAAAAATCTTCTAACTTTCAAGCATGTCACGATGAGGGCAAAAATGTTGCCAAGCAGGTACAAGGGGTGGAATGTTACACAATCAAATAGTTGTAATATCAAACGGCAGTTGCAATAATTTAACCCTATCTGAAGCTAGCAGATTTTTCCCCATCAATTTGTTGTCTTGTATACATTCCACGGTATTTGTGTCAGTATTATTTTATGTGCCATTTTATCTTTGTCAGAAGGATAAGTGGAGAGATAAATTCTTACACGGCAAATTTCAAATCACAGATG